ATATATATATATATATATATATATATATATATATATATATATATATCATATACATATACATATACATATTCCCAAAAACCCCTATTAAACCGATGACTCGAATATATTCATTTTATATGTTGCGAAAAAACTGCCTTCGCCACGTATGATGATCGAGAAAAAATTCCGATACGTGCGTTTGACATGCTGGACATATTATCCTCCCACTAATATTAATATACTCATATTAATATTATTAAATACCACTCATATTAATATTATTAAATACCACTCATATTAATATTATTAAAACAGTATTAATATCTAATGGTACTAAAACATCCGTGCTTGGCCTTACAAATATTTCTGTTAGACAAAAGGAGCTTTCTATAATTTCGGTTTATCTTAATAACAGTGAACTTTATTCTTAAAATTATTAAAATCGCAGAAATGAGATGGGGTAGGTTCGCTAATTTTTCTTTATGGTAGCACTGATGAACTTTTTTTATCTTTATGTTTGTGTGTACATATGTTTGTGTGTTGATTTTCTTTATAATATGCTGATACTTAAGATATTTCATATTTTCTATTATTAAGATATTTCATATCTTTACATTATTGTATAACTTACGTTCTTGTACGTTTACACATAAAATATGTTATATAAAATTATTTCCCTTTGTTTTAAAGTTTAAATAAAATTTTAAGCACAAAGATATCGTATATGATATCTCATTATATAATTTCTTGGTATAATACTCTTCAAAGTGCACAGTTACATCTATTTTATGTAATGCTGACCTAGATTGACCCCGAGCTGCTAGCGTACCTACCCCGGTACCGGGACAGGTGTGCATTCATGTTGCGTGTTGATATTTTTATTATTACAAACGAAACAATACGGTTTATAGCATCGTTAATAGGATCAAAATTTAGAGGAAGGTTGTCTCTATCATTGTTATATATAGCCAATTGGAACAATTAAATATTTCAAACTGTTTTATCATTGAAATTCCAAAAAAGCATGTTATATAAAATTAGCAAACTTGTCCCGGTCGTCCCTAATTGTTTTAAGACATGCTATACATTTGTGGAATAAAAGTTGATATTCCTACAAATTTACGTGTTTTAATGTGGTCTGGGCACGCTAAATATGTGTGTTTTGGTTGTCGATCGAATTTTTTTTCGAAACTTCTTAAAAATTAAAAATGTTTCGAAATGGGCTAAAACATTTAAGTGCTAATATTTAATATCAGTGCTAATACTTGTTATTTATGTATAAAACATTTTTTTAATACTTAACTTTTTTACTTCCAATGGATGTAATATTATATGTAGTAACGCAAATAGGTAGCAGAGATGCGCGCAGGTTGACAGCAGAAATTGCGCAAATCCTGTCGCGTAGCAGGATCTGCTCGGTTTCTGCCGCCAATCTGCTCGAATTGTCTGTCAGTAGGCTTTGTCACATTTCTGGCGGTAGTTTGGCAATATAATTAAATATAACAAGTCTTGTATTAGATTTGTTGTCTTTCTGCTACTTAAAATTTATTGCAGGCTTCTCTCAAAATTTATTTGCACATGTTTGACTATCTGGAATAATATTACAATTTTTATATGCTGTAATATTTTTGCAGAAATTACATAGTGCATTCAAAAAATTCCGGGACTGAATTTTTTTCATTAGTAAATATACAGAGATATGTTCTTAAGTACTAGTTTATTTAGACATCTTTTTTATATTGTTTTCTTAATCTAGATTTTATCTTTTCTTATGCTGATATGTTCTTAACTTTTGATTGGTATGTATAGACACCTTTTATTGCAGCTTATTGTCTTGTAACGAAGAGGTGATCGAAAAAATAATTTTTCTGTTTATTTTCTTCTAATCATCTTTTATATTCTACGAACTTTGTTATTACAAATAAAATAAAAGTTTTATATCTTTTATATTATTACAATTAAATTCTATTCCTTTCTGTTTTATGTAAACTAAGAGCAAATTAAATCGATAACTAAGACGATATTAAATCGAAATTTTAAAAACACAATGAATTGTATACAAATTGATAATATTATCTATTCTTTGTATTGTAAGAACATCAAATGCTTAATTTCCTATTCACATTTTAACAGTTAGCATAGGGAAAAGATATTTACTTTCTCTTTTCTTTCCTTCTTATTCTTCTTTTCTTTCTTTTCCTTCCTTTCTTTTTTCAATAAACATTTACATTAAGCAGGTTTACATAGACAGCTCACTTCTAATGACTTTGATCTATGATATACTTCTTTGATATATGTTATCGAGATTTCTTGAGTAACACGCTGAGTAAAGTTTTAGTCATTGCTCATTGTGTATTAAAAATTTATTAACAAAAGAAGTTTAGTAATTATTTAAGTAAAAATACTATTTAGCCACTTCCTAACCTTGTTTGTTATATATATTATCAAAGACATCCTTCTGAGTAATATTTAAGAGATTTTAGGCATTATTTGTTGAAAAGTTATTAAGGTTCTTGGCTCCTCTGCGGTCATGTTGG